TCATACCATTCAGAATAATTTTCATCCTTCGAAACTTCGATTCCCAACTTTGTTTGCTTTTTTCCATCAGGTTTCGCGTCCTGTTTTTTCTCCTGCTTCTTTTCCGGGCAGGCTTTTTATTCCTGAATTCATGAAATAAAATCAATTAAAAAGTTAACGGGATTACGCAAGAGGTAACTCGCCCACTTTTTGCTTACGACCACCAGGAGCCGCATAATCTTTGCCAGTTATCTCTTTGTAGGTCAGCTTCAACCGCAACAGTTTTTCAATGGCTTCCTTTTTCACGTCCTAAAACAACTTCGAGAAATCATTCACTAAATGTGGTCAATGATTCTAATAGCATACCTCCGACGCTGAAGCATCACCTTTGAGCTGGCGCACTAAATCACCTTGTGCTACAATCTGTTCCTCAATTTCTAGCTCCTTCGCCATTCTAGACTATGTGTGACCCTAGAAAGATGTCAAAGGAGTAAAGGAACTAATGTGAAAGCAGGAGTGCAAGAAATACAGTAATGGAGAAAGACGAATACTCGCGGGAAATGGACCCGTTTTGAAAAGTGAACAGCACAATAGAGTTTTCAATCTTTATTACTACGTAATTAAAGACACCCGAGGCAAAACCCTTAAGAAGGCTATTATCACACTGAATTCGGTGACCCGTCAATAGCTTCGCTTTCCAGCTCGTCGCGACGCTTCTTCAGAATCTCCCACAATGGCTGAAATCAATCTCATGATAGCATTAGTTAACTGAAAACACTTTCGAGACTCTAACAGAGTGCCCTATTAAAGCATTCGTGAAAAAAAACCCGTATGAAAATTCAAAGATCAAGCCTAAAGAACAATAGCGGATCTTTTGTGAGATTTTGGTAGTCTCATTAAAGAGTTCGTATTCAATCCCAAAAAGAATTAATAAACCACGCCCAAGGCAGCAAGTCCTTCGGGCTGAAACCGGTTCGCTGAAATTAATGTGGACGGGAAGGAACATTGACTCATCGTTGGTCCTCGACGTAACCAATTCAGCCTACCACGCACAAAAAAGTCTCAACTGTCGTTTTACGGCAGAGTAAGGCAAATGTCAAGCACAAATGAGGTGAGAAAGTAAAGTTGATACATTGGTCTATAATTTTAATATTGATTAATTAGCTATAATACGAATCTTTCCTGCGTGACAAACTTCTGCGAAACCCATACTTCGCAATTGAAATGCGCATATCGGAACAGGTTCCTCGCCTATCTTGCTCCACATACTTCAGTCCATTATCCATACCTTCAGGCATGATGGTTGGGAAAACATCAATTAACTCGTGACGCGGTAAAACATCATGAAGCACCGTTACAGCTTGATCGCATAATGGCTAAATCACCAATCGTTACGGAACTTCAAAGCCATTTTCGAGGAGGGACTCACTAGCTCAAACCGAAGTATTGCAGCGACAACAAGCGGTACCGATATCGACTTTGTGAACGAAGCGTATAACTCTTGCAGTCCTTGCGCTTCCGGAGCGACCAGACGCTCAAACAAATCTCTGTACAGCGGCTGGTGTTCTTTTAGCAAATTGAACAGCTCCTCTGATGTCTTCGAACACAGCTTTGCCAACATCTCAAGAGATTTTGCAGGATTATGAACATCCTGACCTGCCTTCCTAAACAGATTAGCAATCACCATCGCAAAAAAAACTGCTCAAGATTCAGAAAAATCGAAGACTATTGGAAAACATATCAGAGTGGAAAGGGTAAAAAATTGAGAATGAATTGTTCTGCTCGGCTAGTTAAATTTTTGGAAATGAGCCAACACTGGAACGCTACAAGGCGGAATATACTCTGCTCTCAAACTTTAACTTTAGCTTTCAGAACATTTTAATTCAGAAAGGCCGGCAATTATCCACAGAGCAACAGCAAAAAACTCAAACGTACATTCGAGCTCTTTGAAGATGTGGCCCATCATATCCGCTGTCAGATATACATTGGACTGCATCTTCATAGTGACCAAACAATTCAGCAAGTACCCCTATGTGCAAATAAGAGGTCTTGTGTCAGAAGAGTCCGATTCATCTAAACAAATTCATAAAATAAATAATTTTTTGTGTTAGGAAAGAATAAAACATTGAGACACGGACAGAGAAACATTGAGCGGTTTGCGCCTCACAAACCTCGTAAGCGCAGCACTTTATTGAAATCGATCATTACAGTAGCTGGATCGAAACTCTTCACTCGTAACGACTGACATAAGAACGCCGTGTATTTCATCACAGCTGCAGCCTAAACTTCTTAGATTACACGCAAAAAACCCCAAATAACTTTTGTGTTGAGAAAAAAGATGGTCACGCCTCAATGAAATATCTTTCCTCCAATGCTCCGACCGAAAAATAAACAGCGGTAGGCACAATGCGAAAAAATACTACTGAAAACCCATAATTAACATTTTGAATTCTGAGTTGCTCACCACAGGTTTAATTGAGATGGAATGCCGGAACATGTCCATTGCTTCGTGACCCAATCCTTCCGACTCAGCTTTCAATGCCCAGGCACACCATGCTTCAGCAAGTTGTGGGTTATGTTTGAGAGCCGTTTCTATTGTGAGATGGGCCTCAACCATCTGAATATAAATATAACCACAATAGCCAATCCAATCCAGCCAAATGATATTGAAATGTAACAATTGAAGAAGCTGATCGATTACTTACCGCTCCATTAGTGTAGTAGAGTAAGGCTAGACGTAGCCACGCTTCGTCATTCGCTTTGTTGAGTTGAAGCGCACGAACAAGGTAATGTTGCTGGAGAGCAACAGACATCGTGTCCGTCGCTGTTGCATCCTTTGCCATAGCTGACAACCGCTCTGCCTCAGCAATCAAGGTCCACAGTTGTGAACGCATCTGAGCACACTTGCTCAAACTCATGGCTTTTCGTAAACACTCGTGGGCCCTACAAGTAAAAAGGGCATTTCTCTAAAAGAGATATCCCAAGCGGCAACCTAATGCTCACACGTACGGCCACCAGGCTACAGAAATGACCCTTGGGTTCAAACTGCCAGCAAACTGGTAACTCAGCTCGCTGCACCTATCCTTCAGGTATCAGGTACGATGAGCGTGAAATAACGCAGCTATTTATATCCTGACTCTATGAACCCAATTCAGCCTTACTAAAATACTTCCTTGAGACAGGATTATTTTGAATTTGGGTGCCTCCTTATCATGATCCTAAGCTACAAAATGCAGCACAACCCGCAGAACCATGAGAAGATCTTTTCTCAAAGAAGATTATCGCAACTGGCCAAGAGAGACGCCTGCCTTATGCCTCCTACCACGCAATATATGCCGATCAAGCCGTTCCATTACGCTTGCTCAACTTTTAAGCGCTGCAGAGCCCGCAATCAATCAAATCAATCCAGCCGAACAAAGTAAGCCTCTTGTCAGGTCATTCTATGCCCAGCATTTCCACGATTCAAATCAAGCGCCACCGAGAGACACACTCCTTCACGTTTACCTAATTCCAACTTTTCAGTAAATTCTATTATGAAAACCCACTTGCAGCCATGCTGTTCGGATTTCTCGATTCTGGCCAGGCAGAGTAAAGCTATCGCCAGGTCATTCCATGCCCACGCATTTTCCCGGTTCAAATCAAGCGCCACCGAGTAGAACATCACTGCTGAACGGACTGCAGTCAATCGACACGATATCGACCACGATGATGGAATCTGAAAAGCAGCAAATCTTGCAAAGAACTGATTAGAATCTGCACGCTGACACCTACCTCCAACTTAACGAGCAGTTCCTCTTTGAATTTTATTGCATGAAGAAGAGCATCAGCGGCCAGCTTATAAGCTAGCGATACACGAGGTCGCCCAGCTATCACACCATCTAACAAATTGAAGACCTTCTTCAAATGTTCGAATCGTTCGTCACCGAGAGTGTTGAAAAACAGTCGCAGATGAACCTAAACTTATATACTGTGAAAAAACTTACCGGAATCTAAGTCAAAACTAATGCCCGAGGATAGGAAAATGTGAGCTTACTTGTGCTTCCAATATATCGACAGCATTCTTTAGCTGAGCATTCTGGTACCCGGTGCACCATTTGTACATGTTCAGCAGCACCTTCCAGATTATGCATACGCATTAGAACTTGTATCAGCTAAATTGGAACTAACCGAAATGATGACATGTTTAGGTAACCCTATTCTTCAAAGTCTTATGGGAAATGCATTCACGAGTGCTCTTCAAAACTAATCAGACAGACTCGTCAATATAAACCTCTGAATCCGTTTCAAAACCTTTTTCGCTCATTTGCTCCTTGAAAAATTGGTATAGCAATACATTAATACGAAACAATAGAAAGAAAAACCATTATAAACAAAATAATTGATACGGTTCGTTTCGCTCCTTCCTCAGACGAACCTTATTATTTCGTCAATCCCCGGAGCTCATCAGTGAGTTGGGATTGGCGAAATAAAGACACAGGGGAAAGACGAATAAACCTTGATGTGACGTACTTTCATGCAGAGGAGCATGCAATGAAATGAATTATATATTAAATGAATGAAAAATAAGTTTACTGAACATGTAAAAATATAAAGTGTAAAAGGTGGGCGTTAGCACGTGTTCCACCAGCATTTAGATAGAAATTTAGTGACGAAGTATTCCTTCCACTAACTTACTAATATTTTTATAATTATTAGCAATTGAAAATTTGTAACATATAAACTTATTTTTATAAATGCACTTAACTATATTAGTTATAATAAAGTTCTCATGGTAACCATTTCCTAGTAACACTCTTATGAATTCTGTTAGTTTATCAGTAAATGTGTCAAAATACGGAACAAGTGTTAGCTATTCTAAGTGTTTCAGTGTATATGACGGAGCCTTTATTGTTTATGGAGATATTTGTGTCATTGTGTGGGAATCTGATGACCTTGAACTGAAAATCATCTGTTTTGTTATACAATCTAGTTACAACTCTGTCATTTATTATACTAATTGTTAGATCCAGATAATTACTAGATGTTTCACTTAAATGTGTTTTCTTCAATTCAAGTGTATTCATGTACACTTCTGCTAGATGTATGTCAATATTATCCTCGGTTTGGTTATGTATTACTAGCAAATCATCCATATATCTGAATGGAATGAATAACTTATTTTTATTAAACTTACACCTTATTGCATAATTGTATTCCATGACGGAGAGGGTAAGATCAGCTAACAGCGGACTGAAATTACCTCCTGTGGTACTCCTTTGTTTTGTTTAAATATATAATTGCCAAATGTGCAATAACTGTTTTTTAGCATACCCGTGCACGCATTTAGACATTGCTTCAGCAGCACCTTCCAGATTATGCATACGCATTAGAACTTGTATCAGCTAAATTGGAACTAACCGAAATGATGACATGTTTAGGTAACCCTATTCTTCAAGGTCTTATGGGAAATGCATTCACGAGTGCTCTTCAAAACTAATCAGGCAGACACGTCCATATAAACCTCTGAATCCGTTTCAAAACCTTTTTCGCTCATTTGCTCCTTGAAAGATTGGAAGAGCAATAAATAAAACCTACACAAATCGCATAATCACTGCTGGGATCGATTTCTAACACGCGGCCGTACGCATTCACAGATGACTGAAAAAGGAAAGCTTCAAAGTTGAAATCCCCTCCTACTTACAGGAAAATAAGTGTGAAGTCATAAAAGGAAAGGTACCAAATGTTATCAACACCTACTGACAATGTTACCACGATACGAATACGCCCCGGCCTCGCTTCGCAACGCAAGCCCAGCCCCTAAAGCGATCTTCGTCGGTAAATGTCTTACAATTTGTTGCAATTCACCGATAGCAGTATCCCAATCTTGCTTGTCCTTTGCAAGACTAAAACATTTAAAAAATAGTAAATGAGAAGGAATCAAAAATGGAAAAGAGAAGTCGCTTTATGACTAGTGACTCAAACAAAAACCCACGTAGCTAATCTTCTTCTTAACCACATCGGCTTCCTATAAGCACCTAACGTGTTCAGCAAATTCATTCGTTGCTCTGATGATTCCCCTGCTTCTTCGTACACATCGTCCAATTCCTTGACGTATTCCTCGTTCGTTGGTCGATATTTACGGCCCTTTCCAGGCATGATCGAGCTTTGGCGGATTCTTACGACGCAGCGCTTTCCCGAGCACAAAAAAGACGCGACTTGAACGTGGATTCAATTTTGCAGCCTGAAATCAAGAATCACACTCGTACACTATGTCCAGATCTCGGCATTAACTCAATGAGTGTTAGAAATTAGAGTCCAATTAAACATTAGTTAGAAAAGATAGAAAATGATACGAGTAAAAATATTTGAAACACATAAGCCTAAAACATGCAAATTCAAGTTCAGTCCAAAATTCAATTCGCATCGCCTTGATCAAATTACTTAACTGATTATACTCCGCTCCTAACCAGCACGCGAATAACGCATGGAAACTAGGCGATTAGGCGGTCATAATTCGAATGAGGGAGGCGAGGACGTAAAACCAAATTCGATCGGAGGATTGCGTTGACTTGCGTTTTGGTCTGTCACAAATGGCAGACGCTGGTTATCAAAAAAGAGAAGTGGAAAATGGAACTCAAAGTAAAGAGGCTCATACCCTAGTGTATCAGAAGTACTTTCCCAACAATGTCAAAGGAAAACTGCAGTTACAAACACACAACGTATGCCTACCTCCACAAGAAAGCTAGTCTCATCTTGGGACATCGCTAAATGAAGCTCTGCGACAAGAACGAGATCACGCCACGACGCAGGCTCGTCAGCAGGGATAGCTCTGGCATCTTCGGCTGCATCTGTAGCATTCCCACTTTGCAGAGCACGATAAACTCTGAGAAGAAAGACTTTCAAGCCGAACTAGTGCTAATCGAAAGAACAATTACTATAATAAGGTGTTCCCTTCAATGAGCAACAATACTCAGCGACCTATTTCAATGGTGAAACGCTGTTTGCATTTTCGCGAATAAGAATTTTGAAAGTCAGTGCAGCCGATGTTCCTATACTTAAAGGAATCTTGCGCGGAAAATTCTTGCACTCTTTCCTAACATGAATATGTCAGTTGTGATCACTGGAAATAGCACACAAAGTTTCACGCATGAAGATTCGGTTTCTGAAGAGAAACAAACGTACAAAAACTACACGTTATGGACCATCGAAGGACAGGAGGCAGAGCCAGGCGAGGCATGGAAAGAAGACGGCGTTTGGCCGGCTACGTACCAGGCGACGCAATGAGAGAATCGGGTTAAAGCGCGCGATTTCGGAGAGTGGAGACGATGGAATAGGATGGAGTAGAAGTGTAAGATGTGAATGCAACGAAGCAGAAGGCCAGAAAGAGCTTCTAGTGAATGCACTCCAAGAACCAAGTTTGAGCATCCCCGTCGCCAGCATTCGTGAAAGACGTCCGTGGGCAATTCGAACGCGTAGCAGCCTTTTCGAGTTTTCGAATTTCTAATCAAAACGAAAGCAATACTTCAGTTCTTTTCACTATTATCGTGGATAATGAGTCTCAAGCCAGTGATTTATGGCTGAAATAGAATCATGATTTTTCCGCGCAAGATTCCTTTAATAACGCGCGGCTTTGTTTAAACATGGTGAGTTGCGATTCTCCGATTTAAAATAACGTGAAGGAACTAGAAATAAGGAATAAAAAATTTAGCTACTTTGGAAAACGCCGCTCCATATCGCGTTGTTGATTCATTACAAAGGGTTCCATTTTGCCGAAAAATGTCAAGTCGATAACTGACCATCGAATCAGAGAAACTGAAAATTGTTCCATATACATGATAGCTCCAAAATCGAATACTCGAGGGTTGGATGTTGGCTTATCAAATTCAAAAACTTAGTTCCACGAGCTTTTTCGACCGGCGTGTGATAATATTTCATAGATGCGCTTTCAATCACTTGATTTACACTATTTCGTGCTGCGGCACAGCCCTTGAGAAAACGCTTTTAGACAGAAAAGAGAAATGATAGGAAACATAAGAAGTTCCAACCTGAAGCGTCTCGCATCTGGGGACTCCTGTCCACATTGCTCGATCAAGTCATTCAAATCCTCTCCTTTCCATAGCGCTACTTTTGCGCTGTCAATAGCGAAGGATGGAGGGAGACCTATTAGTGGGACTTGAATTCTAAACAGTTCACTTTACTTGTACTACTTATAGTCCTTTCAGAATAGATTTGTTAAATTATTCAATTTTGGAGTGTGAATGGACCTTGCTGCCTCGTCTTTGAAATCCATCTCCAGAAACACTCTTCTCTTGAGGGAACGCGCGACAACGTCGCACCGGTCAGATAGTCGCTGTGAACGGATCCAGTCAACCACCTGAATTAGAGTAATCAATTAGTACAGTAAATCGTCTTCGTTTCAGATTTTATTTCCCTAGTTTTATTTTGATTTTTGTATTTTTATCAATCTATGTTTTTTTTCTTCTCCTCAAGCCCTGTGCTATTATAATTAATATTGCTCTCTCAGTTTTTGCTATCTATTACTGTTATGGGTGCTCCCCAACTTCAATGACTTGACATTGTAGTCAGCGCGCTGTTTAAGCGCAACAAATAAATAAATTAATAAATTCAATGTCTAAAAAGACGTGTTTGGATGAATACTGAGATCGCATCATGCAAAGTAATGAACAAAGAAAAAAGGCGTGAGGTCTAATTCAACCCTGGAAAAAGAAAGAAACGAGGAAACGAAGGGTGGTAAATCTCGTTGAAATGAAATGAAAAGTGTAACCTAGGGGCAAACAATTTCCCAACTCCATGCGGCACTTCAATTCAGAAACCAAGCCCCGCCCACCTTACTTGGCGAGGCGCTGTTGCGACAAGCATGATGCCATTCAATGGTTAGTGAAATTATAGTAAGGAAAGTTGACTTTCTCCAATTTCCTCAATTGATTTTCTTCACCCGCCCGCCCCCCCCCACTTCGCGAAAGCCCCAAAAAAATTCTAGGCGTGAAAGGGGCAAGAACTTCCAAGGAGAATAACTTTTTAGGATCTCAATTAAGGGCAATTAAAGTCAGAGCTACGTGCATAGTCAGCCTACGAGAGACTAACAAATGGAATGAAAACTTTCGACGCACCTTAGAAACCTTCTCCCAGTTCTCAACTTCGGCCAATAGATGGATGGCGACTAGAGCAAGTGGTAAAAATGTCAATGCGGGTCCTGATAACTCGTCAACAATATCCAGAGCGCTTGACATGTCGGCTTCTCTAAAACTACTCCTCTTGGAGATCAAATGCGCGAAAGTTCAGAAATTATTGCTCGCCATCACATAAAATTGGACAACTTTCTTCATACCTGAGCAGTCTTACTAATCGGTCGAATTTGGTTTCCAAATCATTTAACGGAAGAGTAAATTTGTCATACATAACAAATATTTCATCACAAACTCTGAGTTGGCAGAAATACTCTGTAAATGTCTTGATATGGGAAATATGCAACGTTTAGTGATGCTATAGCCGATATTATGGGTACTGCAGTAAAAAGAAAGTGTGTAGGCAGAATGAAGAAGATCGAGGAAAATAATAGAGAATCAAAAGAAGCTGTGGGAAAACCCTCCAACAAAATATGGTAAGCATAATGAAAGGAAAAGAAGCCCTTTTAATCACTTCAAAAACAAGAAAACCTAGGAAACCTTCAGGGCTCCTCACCTAAAGGGCAAAAGAAACCCAGTAGCAGGAGCAGAGCACAAGTGAAAGGCACAAAAATAGAAAGGTCTGCTGCAAATGAGGCTTTCAATTTTAGCACCAGAACTTACCAATAGAAAGAATCTCCATGAGGCGATCTCTAATCCAACCAATATCAACGAACGGGTGACGAGAGCAAAATTCTATGACCGCTCCGTTGCAATCTTGAGACCGCTTCTAAATGTATCTCAATAATTTCATCAGTTTTTGATTTGCATGAGAGAGAATACCTTGTGAAGAAATTTGCAGTAATGCAAGTTCCACTCGGCGTTAGTTTCAAATGAACTTTTCACCTCAGCGAAAACTTTCTCCAACTAAAAAAAAACTATTAAATAATTATAACTTAAGGAGAAGAATGTCTAGAGGAAACTAACCAATATAGTTTCCATTGATGTGAGTACGTCCTTTTTTGATAGCCGCTCGATAATCTTCCCCATTAGTGCCAAATTATTACCCAAGTCGCTCTAAATACCAAAGTTGGGAGAAATGAGTCAACAAGACGAACTGATGTTCGAAAGAATACCTGAAGATCTTCGTAGCGACACAATTCAAAGAGAAATCTCCTCCGAGAGTCTTCGACTGCCATCCGTTTCTCTTCTGAATCACTGAAATGTTGCGATTTGTGGATAGTGTTATGGCAAAAAATTTAATATTGCTCAGATTCCAACCCCTTCTGATCACTGTTACGGTCAAACCGTGAACCATAGCGACCTCGTCGAAATGCAGAGCAACAGCCCTGCACAACCAAAGCGACGTTACCGTCTTGAAGGAAATATGTAGCTGTTAGGGCCGAGAGCAATAGTTCAGCGATTTCATCAGCGACGAACGCAGCCTTCATATTCTGGTAACGATGGTGACCGGAATCGGAAGGCTTGCTTCTGCTTGTAGAAGGTCATTCCTGGGATACTGAGCCCGATATAAAATGTGTATCAGACTTCCTGATAGCAGTCCCGAGTAAAGTGAAGCGCGTTATTGATCCGTATAGTTTGCTGGGTGCCCTTCCCCACTAGCGAATCTTTCGCGAAGCCAGTGCAAAGTCGTACACCTATGCTAACATTACTAATACACGCCATTGATAACGAAGCGACTTTTTGTCGTTCCCCTGTATCCCAAATTTGCAAGTAATAAACAATGACAGCATACGTGAAAAAAACATGATACAACCATAGGGGACCTTCCCAATAACGATAATTGAGACTGATGTCTTATCAGTGCATGGACCAAATCATACATGACTCACACTTTCCCTTATATCGGATAACGGATGATGAAGGATAGTACAGTGGTCGAGTAAGCATATAGGCCGGTGTCAGACTTAGCGGCGACGCATGGCCGCATGTCAGATATGCCGCATTGGCAGCCCAGATCGGTCAACATAGTCACACAGCGGGGGTGACGCCGATTCTCCATCGCAGAGTGACATCGGCCCAATAAAGGAAATCGCGGGGCGAACAATGCCTCAGCCGCTAAAATTCACTTCCACGGCGCTCAAGCGAGCCCAAGAAAGTGGCGACAGTCGATGTCTAATAAAGAGGCCCTCGCTTTTCGTTTCCCAAAATGTCTGTTATTTGTGCATGTTTCATACCGCTGGCGCATGGCTCTACCCTGCTGTTTGCTGGATTTGCAGTCTGACACCGGTTCTATACTTACCTGGCGTGCGTCAAAGCTGGTTGCACATGGATAAAAAGAATTCAACGAGGAAAACATACCATAACGAGACTAGGTGAGCAGATACTTCAATTGCGCGCTCGTCAGGCGGTAATTTTCCAGTATCGTATAGTTTGAAGAGCCCTTGCCAAGCAATAGGCATTTTTCCATCAAGTTTAATAGCCTAAACTAAACAATTCCGAAATGGATGAATAACAAATGAAATAGTTCCCACAACTACCTTTTCGTATAAGTTCTTTGCTTTGTTTTTATCATCCAGATTGGCATGCGCTAAAGCGGCAAAGCAAAACATCATGTAGTCTTCAACGCCATCATCAAGCAACTCCTGAATGTGGAATTCCAAGAAATTTTGAGATTCAACAAAAAAAACATGTGATTTCAAAACGGATACACATATTAAGCAGCACACACCTGTAGCACATTCAAAGCATCCTCACTGTGGTTCTCGCCCAGTAGCTTCTTCGCTTGTTTCAGGAGCGGCTTTCAATTCCGCCATTCCCAGAAAAACCTGATTATCTCATAAACAATAGTGTAAAAAATAGACATATAATGCAAAAATATAAGTGACCTTACACTACTATCGCATAGGGAGACGTTAGGAGAACACGTGAGTTTTATATATTATCTCACCCCCCCCCCCCCCCCCCCCCGCCCCCCCCATACACTAACTCTATACAACCTAAATAATCCACAAAAACCTGGTTCACTAAAATTGCAGAGACGAAAATATACCACAGAACAGCAGTGCAATCTAAAAATCAATTCCAAACATTGGCGCAAATTTTCCTGATCCTCCAGTAGTCAGAGTAGTACGGCCCCGCTGACGATCCCACCACAACGTTTCTCCATCCAAACACGCTTCGTTTCGATTTGTCCTAAGGAAATTTTATTAACGTTGAGGTCTAAGGTCACAACCAACGTAGAGAAGACCTCAGATATTGAAAGACAATTGCTATAAATGTTTTCAAGAAACCCAAAAAATTTTAAGTTATAAATAAAGGAGTGGGGTATGAATAAATTGACAGAAACTCACAATTGGTACATAAACCAGTCGCGTGTAGAGATAGAAAATCAGAATAACGGATCCTACGTAAAGAAACACCGATCTGGGAGTGAAGCCGGTAAGAATTCGGCCTGTGTCATATCGGCCGAATACCATCGAAACATTGAAGGATCCATTACCACACCTTCCTGAAACTCCAAAAATAATTGTGCATCAAAATAAGGAAAAAGACCATGAGGATTAGTATCGATCGGGAAAAGCCAAAGATTCGAAGGATGGATGGGCCGCAATTTGGCTGCCTGAAGAGGCAAAGACATTTCGAACACATTTGTAAGCGCATAACAAACAACTGTTCCGTTCGAATGGCATTTCCTAGTCAATGAGGATCTTAAGAATGAGACTGCGAGTCTAAGTAATTGAATTGAAAGGAGAGGGAATAAATCATCTGTTGTGAAGAGGTTTAGGAAAATTGAATCGCGATGAGGAAAAGAGAGGAGCCGAACCGTCAGTACTTGATGGACTCTTTTTAATGTAGTAATTTTCTGGGGCTGGTCGAGTTCACACATTGAAAGTATTGTGATTTCAACAATTAATTATAAGTAATGATCAGGTAAGATGCGTTTGAGACAGAAAGAAGAACAAAAAAAGAAGGAAATGTGGCATCTAATAAGACTCATATTCCTAGCTAAAACGTTTACTACCTAAAACGTGGCGGAAACGTTACAAAAAGTAGTCATAAAGTTAGTGCTCAAACCTTATATTTAAAGTTGTGAGGATCGTATTCACGACGCAGGTACTCCTTTTTAAGAATCTCCTTCACACGATACCTCCAAAGTACGGCCTTCTTCTCATCATCTGTCAAATTGTACTCCTGTCCAGGAAGGAATTCCGTTTTACCTGAGAGATCAACTTTCTTATCTATCTGTTTATTGACGTCGTTTTCGACGTATTCTGTACTTCAAGTTTTGATAACATACAAGTATATAATTAAATTTCCAGACAAAGTTTCAAACTAACCGTGGGTTTCAAAGTAACCAAGAACAGGATCCTGCCAAAGTTTGGGATTCTTCACATTCTGATTGGCTGCTGGACGCAGCAAGCGTACAGCAAGACGCATTTTCCTGGAAGAAGCTAACTTCCCGGCACGGTTAACTCTGCATAAAAAATAGTGCCTTATTTACGAAAGTGCACGGTATTGAGAAAAAAAAACAGAAATTAGACATATGCAATGTACGAAGCACATCCCCATGACACTACACATGAAACTATTGGATCAGAATCGTATTTGCGAGCGAAAATTCCCGAAACGGCAAAGAGAACGAGTTCTTAGCTTTGAATGACAAGCGGAAGATGATTTCAGCGAAAGACGGAAAGTACGCGATATTGCGGACGGTTGGAGACGCAATATTACGTCTTCACCGTAGTCATCGCGGTAGAGCGCCTTCCAACATTCGTCCACTGACCGTAGTTTTCCCGGAGATGAAACGATTAAATCTCCACAGGTTTTTATTGTCGTACTCTACATTACCGATCACTTTCAATGAGGGTCTAATCCAGTAAGGTGAGAACGTAATGCAGTAATTCATATCGCCAGTAATCAATTTTTTTGCAGGGGAGGGAAGTCCGAGGTGGGTGCAAAGCGAAATGGTTCGCGTATCCCGGGGATTTTCTTCTCTACCAAGAGTCGAAACTTCTTTCCGCGGTGGCAGCGACTGGTGTACCACATGTTCCCCTCTCCCTCCCCCCCCCCGTCTGGGAGGAAACTTCAATAATCTCAAGTGCGCCGCTAGGGTAGCATGGGGGTTGTCTGGGGTGTTTTGGCTTTCACAGAATGCAGGATTGAATGTTGTAGAGAGCGTTCCTCGCCCTTCATTAGCAGTGCTAGATTAACCGGGAAGAGCCGTGAACAATCGGACTGACTTGAGCAACGGCTGAACTTCTATGAAACCTTACAGGGAGAGGCGTAATTGTTGGTTCACTACATTTTCTCAATTTTTCCGGTAATAAAACGTCGCTAATTTACACCAAGGAAGATCAGCAAAACGTTTAATTATGCGGAATTTTAACTGGGAGCAATTCGGTGCATCAAACGAAAAGGACAGTGATAATGAAGCTGTCAACGATTCGCGCTCATCTAATTTGACCCCAATTTCCATCAAATTCGTTGCGAACACATCTATTGGAATAGGTTTGTGCTTTGATAACAAATATACATTCGGTTCTGACACTAACGACTTTTGGTGCCTATTTTTGTGCTCTCACTGACGGGCTAGTGCCGAAGCCTAGGTCTAGGGATAGATGCCATTGTGAGCGGTGATTACACACTCTGCCTATCGCGATAGTGTGAGTGGCTTGCCCTCTATGAAACCGCTCCTCGACCCCTCCCCCCATGGTCCTCTTGAATAAAAGTAAGCGGTCATGCTGACAGGGCGCGACTTCCCCGGAAGAGCCACCACCTATCGTCTCATTAGTTAGGTCCCTTCCACATTTCACTGTGCTCTATCCCAGTCGCTGTCACGGGATTTATCGCGGGCGTTCCCTGCAAGAGCAAGCTTTCAGTGAGAAAACGCAGGCGAGCTGAAGATGGGGTCTAAAAGCAGTAGCACCAAAAACGTACGCTATGTTCGTTGTACTAGCCGCGTTGCAATACCGCAATCCGTGAGTTTCCAGCGAGCTTGATGGCTAGTCTGTGTCAGATTAAATTGGCGCGAAGTGATACATAATGGTGCCAGTGCCCAAATTAATGCCGTCGCCATTACGAAAGCGCCGAGTCCCCTGTAGGTTAAGTTTTGACGGTCCCGGTGACGAAAATTCCGGTTTCTCCTACCCTTTCGCCCATTGAGCTCTCTTACATTTGCGTTATAGGTCTCGAAAATCTGGTTCATCCATCCTGATTTGGGCCAACTTAAAGGCAATCCCCGGGTAAAACTGGTGATAAGAGCGCTTCGTAGTGATGCTAGCTGCGGAACGACCTGAAAGTGGGAAGGAAAGCAAGAGAAATCTTTGGGAACGCTGAAATTAAGGCCTTAACCTTCAATAAGGTCGGATGTGGTACGATGGCGAGACAGGGCGATCAAAGAAGACAAAACACGCGAGAGAGCACGCGTTCGAGAGAGCACGCTGATCTCTACATCAATCGCGGTGGGTGGGAAGCGTTGCAGCGGGGGTTCTTGCTGGAAGCACCAGCAAGAACACTTCTTTTAAGCGGGGATGAACCCATGCTCTTAGAAGGGTTTCTATTATGTTTCTGCAATTTTGTTTCTTGATTCTAATAGCGCTTTCGGCAAAAACAAGTAGGGCCTTCCAGCATGACACCATGCCAAACCATAACTAATTGGGAATACTCTCTTTTCATGGAATCTTCCTTTCTCAATAGCGTCAGTTAATGCGTACCTGCTCTACCAGATACCCAAATATGGGCTCTCAAATATGCCAACCAAACCCTACGACGAAATTACAACGAAACTACGACAACTACCAGTGTGCCACATGCGAGGCGATGGTCGAAGAACATGCGTGAAAGCGAAAAAAAAAAGCTCATTTTCAAAACGGCTAATATTTGTCAGAAAACAACGCTAGTAGAAAACACCATTCATAGTTTGGAACAATTTGAATTATATAGGAACTTTATTTTGAAATGGTATCGAAATACCAGTGTACCAGTAACTTCGCCCCACCCTGTATATTTCGCACCCCACTCCACTCGGCACTCGGATCCGATACTGTCGACTAAACCCCCCCCCAGGCCCTCTCTCCATCCATCTCCCAATGAACCCATCACCGTGTCTCTCACCGAATATCCCTCGAGAAGGAAGGTAAAGAGAGGCGTGGGAGATAAAATAAAGTGATATTTACAAAATTCGATGAAACTACTTTCAAAGCTAACGTGAATATTTTCTGAAAGTCTGTAAACCCTTAATAACCCTCACTCCTTTTGTTCCAAAAATAATACCTGCCAATTTCACCAAATACGACCGCTATTCCCAGAGAACCAGAAACGACCCCTTTTGAGAAACCTGCGAAGTTAGCACACACCCCTTGCCATTGCAGAATCTCCGCCTATCGCAGTCATTGACGAGGAGGTCACATCGTATTCGCTGCGCATTACTTAAGTGATGAATAATCAGTCGCATAGCTGTCCAGAAATAATGTTACATGCCATGTCTGCCACCATCTTAGCAGAAATCATAGTTTGCTCGGCAATTCAACTGAAACGTCACGATAGCCTTCCTGGCATGGTCCGCTCCGGGTTACGCACCGCTGCCTTAACCCATAACGGACGGCGTGCGCCACAAGGTGGCGCACGACTATTTCTTTTGTTTTTGGAATGTTTCTAGCAATCTTAATATACCCATATATACTCTCAGCAATGTGGAATAACATACAATACCGCTACTAATTTTTGTTCAATCGACGGTTTGCGACGGTCGGAAACCGTCGCAAACCGTCGGCTCGCCATAACTCTTTAAAAAATGGTTCGCTCGACCTGCAGTTTATACCATCTGATAGCTCTGCTCGAGATCTACAAGATGGTTAAATTCAATTTCTGAAAGAGCTCCATCTAGGATTGCGCCATGCACTCGACCTCCATCCCGAGAAGTAATGAATATACTTTGTATGTGATGCGCATATAAGTCCTCCTATGCAGCCTGATCATCCCACAGAAACATGGATCTCAACACCCTCAGAATACGCCACGTACCCAACCGGTCCACCATATGGTGAGATTGAATGAATGTTTTTTTTTCGAATTTCACGATCTTTAATTCGTTCTAGAGCGCTAATTGGCTAACCGTGCGCTGATCAACCCATTCTTCCACTCCAAATGAGAATCTTCGAACAGTTTCCAGCAGTAGTAGTAGACCTATTATGTGACATTCCCCACATTTAGAGGAGATGATTTGCGGAAACCTGAGAAGATAGCCAGGAATCTCTCCACAGACGTAGACTCCAGTTACTTCTCTGTAAGATTGATGTAGAATATTTGGTCACGGGTAAGCGCTCCGTCCGTGGTGTGGCCCCAAACATCACTCTCCGTCATGCCCTAAAATGAAAATCAGATTTTTTGCTCTTCCAGATGACTCTACAGAGCTGAGGGGTGCACCGTTCGATTCTCCCATGAAAAATGCTATCGAACGATATACATTCGTATAACTTC